GGGGGGGGGCTGGGCAGCACAGACCCACTGTGGATGCCTGGCGACTCCCGAATCACAACCACAACCGCGGCAGGGATGGGGACAGCCCTTGCATACCCATTGCACACACCGCACCAGCTCCCAGCTCGAGGAGCCCTCTCAAACTCCTTCCGCGGTTTCTACGCCAACTCAGTTTCTTTTCAAGGTTTCAGAGCAAAAGGTCTCTGACGGCACAGATATCACTATCGCGATAGCGACATTGCTGCTGAGCAACAGCACGGAACGAGCACGCCGGATGCGCCTCTGCTTGCACATGGCAGCGCCTGGGACATACCCACGGGCTGCCTTGCACCCGGTGGCTTTGACACCGCTCCTGCATCATCTGTAGATACTTCTGCACAGAAACGATGCTATTCCTGCCCACATTTGCAACAGCAAGTCTGAGATGAGGCAGGGAAGGGCATGGCTGCCTCATTCACCCCGCAGCCATGAGTGATGGATGAATTTCACTGGTTCCTCCCCGCGCAGGTCCCAGAGCTCACTCACAGCCGGAGACTCTGGAGCTGCATTTAAAAGCCCAACGACCCCAATGGCTTTAGAGAGTCCTGGCTGCAGAGGAAAGCCTGGAGACAAGTCTCGCATGCAAAGCAAGAGATCAAAAACCAGGTGAAGAATAAGGCCAGCCCAAGACATAATTATTTTTCAGCTCTCCCAGGTCTGGAAAGGCTGGATTCAGTAGAGCCATGTTCAGCTCCCAGCCATGCTGCAACCTCATCATGTGTCCACCTACTTCTCCAGGGGCTAAAAACCTCTCCTAAAGTTCAGCCCAAGGAGCTAAGCTTTATTTTCTGTAACAAACATACCGGCGGGTGGTGGCGTCAGGGCTCCCAGGTGAGCAGACATGGAGGATGCAATGTTCCCGCGGGCTCAGCCAGGTGAAGATCACCCTGTGGTTTTTCCTTTGGCATTTCCCAAGCGAGGGCTACTCAAACCAAACCCCAAGCAGCTTATGGAAATTAGCATAAGAGACATTAAAGCTATTCTTTAATTAGAGATATATGTGTTGGCAGAGGACAGGACAGGTGCTCCAGGATCAAAACAGCTCAGAAGCGCCATTAGAAACCAGCTTCGAGGCGGTGAAAGGCAGCTGAGCTCCCCGGGGTCCTGAGGAGCCTCCATGAAATCCCCAGAGAG